AAACGTACCTATAAATGTCTTAACAAAGTGACAGAGTATATGAAAATGCAGAACCCAACAGTTATATTCTTCTTCAGGATTTTAGGAATCTATCATAATCTGTAGAACTGATTTTCATTAAGGGACTACTTCAGTTGCTTATGCCATCCTTAAACTGCACCGAGAGAAACTTCCTGGAAAGTCAAAGTAAATTCTTCACAGAAAGGAACAAACAGTTCTGAGTCGGTCAGGTCCTTATTTTGCTGCTCTCTGTGCTGGGCTTTATTTCAGGTTTTTCACCCAAAAAAGTGTATAAAAACTCTGTTCCTGTTCCTTTTATCTCATTCTCCTGAAAGCGTCATCTGAAGATAACTAGCACTTTCATCTCAGAAAGATAAGCGAACTCTAGTGGTAGTAGTGATTAGAGTTTCACCAGGAAGTTTCTCTTGAATGCTGGAATCTAGACATCATATATTACATCTGTTTCTTAAAGACATTTTCTTGTCAAAAGTTTGGGAGAGTCCTCCAGTATAACAAGTGCAGCTGTAAATAAAAGGCGTCTGTTACCTCGCCTTTGCAAGTAGTTGCTTTAAATATTGGGACTTAATTGAATTATGGTAACTTACTCTACAAAGGCTGTAAGTTCATCAGACTCTGGATAATAAACCTATGTCAGTTTAGGAGGCTGAGAAGCCCTGAAATGTATGTTGGTGATGCTGTTCCTGAACAACAGGGCAACAAAGGCCCTCAAAGTTAGCTAAAGGTTTCATGCAGACCTGTTCCTCATGCAGCACTTACATATACTGTCATGGTCAACAGTATCTTTGTTGTTCTGCTGGAAATAGAATCATAGAATAGTTAGGTTTGGAAATAGAATCATAGAATAGTTAGGTTTGGAAAGGACCTTAAGATCATCTAGTTCCAACCCCCCTGCCATGAGCAGGGACACCCAAGTCCACCCTGGCCTGAAACACCGCCGGGGTTGGAGCATTCACAACTTCCTTGGGCAACCCATTCCAGTGCCTCACCACCCTCACTGTGAAGAACTTCTTCCTTAGATCTAACCTAAAGTTCCCCTGTTTAAGTTTAAACCCATTACCCCTTGTCCTACCACTGCAGTCCCTAATGAAGAGTCCCTCCCCAGCATCCTTGTAGGCCCCCTTCAGACACTGGAAGGCTGCTCTGAGGTCTCCACATAGTCTTCTCTTTTCCAGGCTGAACAGCCCCAACTTTCTCAGCCTGTCTTCATACAGGAGGTGCTCCAGCCCTCTTATTGTCCTCGTGGCCTCCTCTGGACTTGCTCCAACAGCTCCATGTCCTTTTTATGTTGAGGACACCAGAACTGGACACAGTGCTCCAAGTGAGGTCTCACAAGAGCAGAGTAGAGGGGCAGGATCACCTCCTTTGACCTGCTGGTCATGCTTCTTTTGATACAGCCCAGGATATAAAACATTCCTGGATGAGACAAATTTTGCTTCCAGACTGTGCCTTGAAGAAGGAATGTAGTTGATTACATCCTCCCATGGACCTCATCTTGTGCACTTCCTATCCTCTTCTGCCAGAGTCCTCTGGGCCTGGTACTGTCACAGGTGGTGTTGAGCACTCTTTCTCCAGAGAGATGATATTAGTGCCCTGAGTCAGAGAGGGAAGCCAACAGCAAGGTATTTTGGCTTGATCTTTTGGAGAAGGGGAGAGACTGAATTGTTCTTTGCAGACATCCTAACTGGGCTTGTGGGAGCAGGTGCTGGAAATGCTGTGCATGTGCTGCCAGTTACAGGTGCAGACAAGCCCAAAAAAGCAATCAGAAAAGCTGCTAAAACCAATGTTCTGACCTTTCTCTGGTATATAATGATGAAAGACATATGACATCCTTTAAGCAGAACTTTGTTATCAGTCTATAGGTAGCAGTAATGCAGAGAAAACAGATTTAAGGCAAGTGCTCACCAAACTTTAGCCATCTTTTTTAGACTCTATTTGTACAGAACGTGAAAGGAAAACTCAGGGGCACAATTCATCTAACCTACCTGAGATTGCTAGTGTAGGATGAAATGAGTTAAGACCTAGAAATGCCTGTTTCTTCTCACTGAGTATAAAGAGAGCTAGATTACTACCTCTCATTTCAGGATTATAAATATAAAATTTTGGTAAGATTAAAGACATCTGTTGTGTCAGCCCTTGCATTCCTGAAAGATGGGAAAGAATATTCCCAAACTCACTTGGAAATGCTGACAATTTCTTTGACTGTGGAGAAGAGAAAACCATATGAAAAGGTTTGGAAATTTTCATAGTTCAAACCTAAGATCGTACTGGGCATAGTAAATTTTGCTGTGTGTTCTTGCTGCAATCTGATATAAAAGCAGAATTCAGAAAACTCATAGGAACACCACTACTTGTAAGAAATGGAAGTTTCATGTTCAGACAGCTTGTTTAGCTGTTTTGTCAGGCCAGAGACTGTCAAGTTAAAATGGACAAAAACAGAGGGTATGTCCATATGCTGCTAAATGAGAGCACCAAGAAGCCAGTTTCAGCACTGGAGCAATGATTCTTCTGCTTAACTGTTGGCTACTTCTTGTCTATTTGCTTCCAGCAGGCTCGAGACAGAAACAGCCTTAAGCACTGAGACTTGGCTGAAAACTGACTCTAATTTAGCAGTGTAGGTGCAGCCAGAGAGTCTAAATATGAAGTAAAATTGTGCTAGCCATGAATGGTACTGCATACATCATCATTACACCTGCCTCAGGTAGGTGCAACGTCTTATTAGATCCTTTACGAAATAACTGCATTGGTCTTCTGAGCAACCAGCAAGAAAAACAGGGCAATGCATTGCATATGTAGATATATATGCTTAAATAAAAGGAGGTGGAACAAGATCAGCTTTTTAATTCACATCATCCCTGCTGCTGTGGGACCTGGTAATGGATCTCTGCTGCGATTAATGGTGATTTGAACTGAAGACCCTTTTGGAATCATGGATGATAAAAGAAACTTCTCAGATGATCATAATCAAGATATAGTTTGTGTGCAAATACAAGTTGAGTATTCAGCCTGTGTTTTCTCCTTTCATCTTTATACAGAGGTTGCTCACTTCTCATGTCCCGCTTTTTCCCATTTTGCTGCACTAACGAGTTTTTAATGCAAAGGAAAAGTGATTATAAGCAGTGAAGCAAAGACAGCTTTATAGAGCAAGACTGAGGAATTGAAGACATAGATCAGAGCTATCCACCACCCTAAGATGAAAGAGAAGTTCATGAAAACAGAGACATATAGATAGCTTTGATTTCATTATCATTAGACAAGAAAGGACGAGAAATGGATGAGCTATAAAGCTGTTCATACCTAGTAAGTTGCCTGTATTAATAAAAAAATCCATGCAGAAAGCATTAAAGTGATAACATAAAACAGGAAAATATCCTATAAAATAACCTATAGTAAAGTACTTGTTCATATCTGGATTTAGTGTAGTGTGATTACCAGATTGCAATAATGTAAAAAAATACAGATATTATGTATGTATTAAATATTTTATTCCTTGATGCTATGGTTTTGTTTCATTGTTAAGCATGAGTTATTTGTTTCGACTTCTCTCCTGCTTCCTCTTTCCTTTTGAACACAGATTCTAGGGATTGTATTTCTATTACTGATTTCGTGGTTTATCAGATCTTGAATTGCAGACAAATTAAGTAGTTGGTAGCATTTATAGGAAGCTTTTGTTTGGTAGATATGTGTATCTAGTTATAATATTCACATGGGAAGTAGGTAATTACCTTTGAAAGGTGCTTGACTAGATAAAGAATGATTTGTGTACTGTGTTTTCTGATTGCAGTTAGAAAACTAATACAGGAAATTAGTGGCTGGGAGTGGGGAGGAGTAATAAACATTCTTGTTCTGGGAAATAACAAATTTGTTCCTTCAAGATTAGGTCAATCCTAAGGCTTCACTTCAGTTTTGCTCTTACAATTTTTCATTTTTTTTCATTAAGCATAAATTAAGTAAAACAATAAAGAAAACTGTTTTCCAGGAAATATCCTATCATCATCACAAAAACTAAACTGTCATGACTCACAGGCAATAGCTATTGTTTTCCATTAATCAATATTTTCTTGCCCAAACAAAAAGAATTGCTGCCTAGCTGCAGCTAAGGTACACTGGATTCTTCTCAGATTTTAATAATACAAGTGTTTTCATTACTCTGCAGTTTACTGACAATAGCATCAGCTTTTGTAGCTTTCTCAGATGTGGTACTATGAGAAAGCAACGTGGAAACTAAGGAAGGGATGTTAAATGAATTGCCTAAAGGGACAGAAAAAATCCATGTCAGACTGGAACAAGGTTTCAGAATACTGCTTAAATCAGTGTCATGTCTTCAGCTGATAGATTTCTTGTCCAGCGCAATCCATTTTGGTGCTCTACATTTTGTAGCTTAATTTATTTTGACACTGAAACTCGGCATAAGAATTACATTAACATTCTGTGCCTTTTTGCCATTCAGCTGTCTATTGCAAAGGTCCTCTGTCATGTTCTTGCCCTAGGTTAATATAGTAAACAAGATGTATTTCAGTGTATGTATCAGTGAGTGATTTTTACATAAGTACTATGAATTTCCTGTCTGGTTTTATAGTACCAGGTAAATTGGAGCTCATAAGGCAATGAATAACTAATCTTTCTTCCATTTGTGGGAACAATTTTTAGAAACAGGTCTTCTATTTTTGACATGAAACTATTAGCTTGGAAACTAAACATTTGTGCTAAGTCCATGAACACACTATGCCAAATATCAGTCAAATCATATAAGTGACTCGTTATTTCATACATACTGAACTGTTACTGTTTTCAAATTCATAGGCTTGATTATATGCCATTCAAGACAAAGAAGAGCTAAGGAGGCTATAATTTAGATAGCCTCACCTGCATGTTGCAAAATGTGCTTCAGTGAACTGATCATACTGGAATATCTGTACATGATCTCTACCGAATTACCTTCCGTGTGCATTTAAGGAATTTTCTGATTTCATTTTCTTTAGGTCAATGGAACAGAAATTGAATATGAATTTGAAGAAATTACTCTGGAGAGGGTAAGTATAATTTATTCTTCTCTTACAGGAAAAAAAATAATCTGTAATAAAAATAATTGAATTACTTGTGAAATTAAAAATGGTTAAGAATGAAACTACCTCCATTTTGATTAAAGATGCCCACTCTTTATTCTAAACTATAAAAATGTGAATATACAACAGGATAAGCATTTCATGTTTTTAAGAAGTTTCAGGTGTAGCTACTTGCAGACCAGTATCCAGAATGCTCTTCTTTCCCATAACCATGTCAATGCTCAGCTAGGCATTTGATTATTGGGAAGAGCCCGTGTGACTTGGTAACTCCCTTTTAGCTTGTGAAGTGGAATTGTGGCACCTTTTCTCTTTTAACCTCTTTGATTTCCTTACACATGTGCATAGTGAAGGACATCTAGTTTTTCTACTATAAAACAAAAACTGCAAAAGTGTTTTTTGTTGTCTGTAGACTATATCTATCTCTAACGGATATGTTTATGGACGTCTGAATTACATGAGCTATAATCAGAGCTGGCAGGAAAGACTTTGTTGGTAGCGTGGTTTAAGAGAGTCACAAAAAGAAAGGAAAAAAGTTAAACTTTGTGCTGCATCACATCTCCCTGGATTTGGTGGTATTCCTTGGCCTTTGGTTATGTAGCTGTTTTCCTGCAGATTTTCTTTGCCACAAGATCAAAACCAGATGGGCCGTATATTGTGTAAAAAAGAGAGTCTAAGCTTTGTCATGTGTCATAGTACTTACAAAGATTTCTAATGGATGCAAGATTGTCATTGCTCAAATCCTTCAATATTCTACCGACATCCTGGTAATATGAAGTTTTGTCATCTTGAAGCAAATGGAGTTAGTCTTCTTTATACATAAAACGTTTGAATGCAAGGCTGGATTTACCAAGATGTGACTGATGCCATATGAACAAATGCCTGTAAGGTAGTAACATACCATTAAATTAGATGCTTTGATTATATAATTCCTTGCACTTTTTCTCCATGTTATGCTTGCAACTGTCCAGGATAATGAATTCTATAATCACTCAGCTTAAAGGGATACAAGTTTATATTCTCATTGATTTTCTCTCTCAGACGAATTATGAAAGAACGATATATCTTTTTACCATAGCCATCCTCATAACAGATAACATATAAGCTTATAGGCACTTTTTATCTACTGTCTCTCAACTTACTTGTGCATCACTAGTTATTCATTGGACTAGAGTTTCCAAAGGTCACTGAACAGAACAGAATGCCTCCTGGGTGGTATTTTGAAAACCACTTTATTTTTAACAGATGTGTAAGTTATCAGTGTACATACTGGAGAATGAATGTGATTTTCATCTCCTGTACCTGTCTGATGCAGATAATTAGTTATTCACAACATAATACAGCATAATATCAGTTAAAGACTGAACAACAATAGCAAAAAATGGAGGGTATTTCAGTTGTTTTCTGGATGCTGCTTAATCTATGGTTTCTGATCATTACTGCTTGAAATGTTCTGTCACATATATCAGTGTTTTGTCTCAAAGGCAGGGTACTGTGTCTGCTGGTTTTTGTGTGAGATATAAAACACAAGTGATTGCCTTTAAATAGCTGTCATTTATATTAGACTAAAAGCATCTTCAGAAGAAAGGCATTCTACATGCTGATTACCCATTTTCTTCCACAAAACTGCTTTTAGAAATTAGATGGAAAAATCATCTCTCTGTATTTAATGGCAAAGCTGCAAAATGTATTAAGGTTCCTGCTGTTGAGAGATAAAAATGTAGTTTGCCCATATCAAACAGTTTGTAATAAACTTTCCATTTTAGTCCAGTTCTCCAGGTTACAGAATTCTGTATCCCAAAACCATCAGATATTTTCTTTATGACATTTATCCACATTTTTAAAAAGTCAGTATAATTTAAAGGATTTTACAATGTAAAAGATAAATTGGTTGAAGGTGTTTTTTCCTGCTTTTTTTTACATAGCAGAATGAAAGGGAAGGTGGTAAAGGACTGATTACTTCAGTGTCCATAGACTTGGCAAGGACACCATGAATTTAAGTTTAAGAGCTCACTTTCATCAATAGGTGACATGAATCTGTGGGATGTATTCCTGAGGAATTACTGGCTTTCGTATGATCCTTGCCCCAGGATGAAGAGATGGTTCCATCCCTTGGGATAACACAGGACCATTGTGTGCATGTTGGCACAATGTGTCCCGTGTGGAGCTCGGGAACAGATCAGCAGGGTCTCAAAAATGCCCAAAGGAAACTCTGCTAAGGGACTGGGGGGATGGACAGTGCAGAGCTTGCTGAGCATCACTGAGCTGCCCGAGACCCAGCTGGCATACTAAGAAATGGATACAGTCAGCTGGTGTAGAAAGCTTTCTTTTTGCTCTTTGACATAATGTTGTTGTTTGTATTTAAAATGTTGTGCCCTAGTTTACAGTTTAACAAGACTTGGGGTTTTGAGCTTAAAAGGCTTCAGTGAGAGCTCAAAAAGATGATGAATTTGAGGCAGATCCACCTTAAAGCTGTGATCAGTGCTGTTCCAGGAGGTAAGGAAGTTTTAAGTACCCCTCTGCCAGCCTCTTCCTTAGGGACATGCTCCTTTCACTCTTCTTCAGTTGTGCCAGCCACTTATCAGGTACTATCACCAATCCCTGATCCCTTCAAGGATCACTGTTAAGTAAGTGCTCCTCATTTAGAGCTCTCCTAAGTACCTACTTGAGGAACACAGTTAAGGGAAATCAAACAAATTCTCTTTTCAAAATTATAATAATAAAAAAAATACAGTTTTAATTCCTTCAACTACCTCAGAGAATGTGCGAGTGCCTCTGCTATCTTAAAGGCATAAAATGCTGATCCAGGTGCAGACAAGACTTGCTGATTTCTAACAAACTACAATGCCCAAATGCGCACTTAGAAAAAATTCTTTAAAATAAGCCATTACCTTGCTCCAGCTTGAATATTAAAGACATCATGAAAAGGAAATTCTGCATAAAATGACTCATATTAGTACAGTGATGTTAGTCTTCCATTACTGCAGGACTTGAAAAACATATCCAGTGCTCTCTAGAGACTGATTTGCACTTGTACATCAGTGGTCAGTATAAGAGGTAACTGAACAGACTCTGTTACAAAGCCTAGCCTAACTTCTCTAAGCTGGAGGAAAGTTTAAACGGACTGACTCCTTGGCACAGCACTGTGCTTGGAGGCATATGCTGAAGAGAGGATTTTAATAGAAGTTGATGGAGTATCAGCCAATATTGGTACTTACCTTGAAGAAGAATAAAGAAAGACAATGGGTCACTTGATGATTCATGTCATATTCATGCTGAGTTCAACATCTGAGTTCAGTTCTCATCTAACCTTGTCTATTCTTCAGATGATAGAGAAAAAGAGGTCATTATGATTAGTAAAGCTGTTTTCACAGAATCTTTTCATGCTTCGGCACATACTTTCTATCTGTATAAAATTAAAATTAGATCATTTTTTGTGGAATAGACTGTGTAGAAAGATTAAATTCTATCAACACTGGAATTAAAGATATCTAGATCCCACTGCATTGTCATCATGAGATTGACTGACCTCAGTATCTGAACAGGTCAAGTTCTGACTGAGAATTTTCCCAAGGCTGAGACATGCACAAAGTGTCTCTTTTTCTTTTATACCCCTGTGGGTTGTCTGGCCTATGAGAACAATTCAGGTTACATTGCAGAATGTCCCTGTTTTAAATGTTTAAATAGTTTTACAAAGTTTTGAGGAACTTGGTTTGTTTCCTCCTCACTTTTTCAGATTTGGTTGCAGTTGGCTATTGGGGTTACTGCAGTCGAGAGAGAGACGGGCATGAATGCTCACATGGCACAATGATTCCCTTAGAAAATCAGATTAAAGATCTTCCACAGGAGTAAATCATGTTTGATAATGATTTATCATCAGGGAGTCTGCTGTGATAACTCTGATAAATTTTGTTCTGTATCCACCACATGCTCTGTTGAGTGAAGAGACAGAAGCTCTCTCTCTTCTTTCCTTTGACTTGGTATTTCAGTGACAGCAAGTGACAGAAGATTTGATTCTTCTAGTTCAAGATTATTATTCTCTAAAAGGTTGGGTTTCCACATTTCCACTGCATTCCAGGGTCTATTCAAATCTCAACAAGGAAGGCTGAAACTGTAATCAGAAGTAAACTTATAGCATAGAATTTGAAAACCCTGAGGAAGCAGTGGGAAAAGCAATCCTTGTACATTTCAGTATAGTAAGGAATTTATTTCAGGCCTTGGCTTTTATTTTCTTTGGTACCTTGTAAACCTCAGAGTTATTACTATTGCAATAGGAACTATTAATTATGCTGTTTTCATCAATAATTTCCTTTGTGAAAATGCAGAAGTATGCAAAACTATAATGAGGTATACTGAATACTGAAGAGCAGGGGGAACTGGACTGCATCCAGTGACACAAGGATTTTAATTTGGGTCAATGTAATATTTTTTATATCTATCTATCTTGTTTTGGCAGATATCATAGAATCATAGAAGCAAAGAATCGCAGAAGAGTTTGGCTTGGAAGTGACCATTAAAGCTCATCTAGCCCAATCCCTCTCCAATATGCAGGGATGTCTTCAAGTGCATTAGGTTGCTTGGAGCCCCATCCAACCTGACCTTGGATGTTTCCAGGGATGGGGCATCTACCACCCCTCTGGGCAACCTGTGCCAGTGTTTCTATACTCTCACTAGAAAACTTTTATATCTAGTCTGAATCTACCCTCTTTTAGTTTAAAATCATTACCCCTCCTCCTACTGCAACAGGGGCTGCTAAACAGTCTCTCCTCATCTTTCTTGTAGGCCCCCATTAAAGTCCCAAAAGGTCACAATAAGGTCTCCCCAAAGCCTTCTCCAGCTGCCCCAGCCCAGCTCTCTCAGCCTGGCTCCAGAGCAGAGCTGCTCCAGCCCTCGCAGCAGCTCCGTGGCCTCCTCTGGACTCGCTCCAACAGCTCCACGTCCCTCTTGTGCTGTTGCCTCACAGCTGGATG